CATATAGACTGCCCTTCACATATTTCAACAGTTAACAAAAGAGAACAAGATATCATTTAATATCATAATAATCACTGCATAAATTAATCAAGAAACACACAACAGGAACAGACACGCGTTGATATAAGCAACACACAGACACATATTACAGCAACCATCATAGCCTCCCTACCATCTACAATAGCATACATATACACTGACAAAACCTACTGTGAGCATCATTCCTCTGTTACTGTCGAGGTTAGAGGTTCTTTACAGTCTTGTTTAGTCTGTCCTCTTCTACCCTGGGATGTAAAGGTACTTTACAGTCTTGTTTAGTCTTTCCTCTTCTACCCTGGAATGTAGAGGTACTTTACAGTCTTGTTTAGTCTTTCCTCTTCTACCCTGAGATGTAGAGGTACCTTACAGTCTTGTTTAGTCTCTCCTCTTCTACCCTGGGATGTAGAGGTACTTTACAGTCTTGTTTAGTCTTTCCTCTTCTTCCCTTGAATGTAGAGGTACTTTACAGTCTTGTTTAGTCTTTCCTCTTCTACCCTTGGATGTAGAGGTACTTTACAGTCTTGTTTAGTCTTTCCTCTTCTAACTTGGGATGTAGAGGTGCCTTACAGTCTTGTTTATTCTTTCCTAATCTACCCTAGGATGTAGAGGTACTTTACAGTCTTGTTTAGTCTTTCCTCTTCTATCCTGGGATGTAGAGGTACTTTACAGTCTTGTTTAGTCTTTCCTCTTCTACCCTGGGATGTAGAGGTACTTTACAGTCTTGTTTAGTCTTTCCTCTTCTATCCTGGAATGTAGAGGTACCTTACAGTCCTGTTTAGTTTTTCCTCTTCTACCCTGGGATGTAGAGATACTTTACAGTCTTGTTTAGTCTTTCCTCTTCTACTCTGGGATGTAGAGGTACTTTACAGTCTTGTTTAGTCTTTCCTCTTCTACTCTGGGATGTAGAGGTACTTTACAGTCTTTAGTCTTTCCTCTTCTAACTTGGGATGTAGAGGTACTTTACAGTCTTGTTTAGTCTTTCCTCTTCTAACTTGGGATGTAGAGGTACTTTACAGTCCTGTTTAGTCTTTCCTGTTTTACCCTGGAATGTAGAGGTACCTTACAGTCCTGTTTAGTCTTTCCTCTTCTACCCCGAGATGTAGAGGTACTTTACAGTCTTGTTTAGTCTTACCTCTTCTATCCTGGGGTGTAGATCTAGATAACTTACAACTCAATGGACGATGTGGTCGGCATCAGACTGGTCACCTTTACTTTGTAGAACATTACCTGTTACCCACTTTAGGCTGGGTCGATCTGGGAGCCACGTACAGTTTTTAAAGAAAAGACTCTTTATGCAGACTGGAACTCTAGAACTTAGGGCAAACAGGTGAGCATCTAGCTGGTGTGCTACAGTGGCCCCCAGTACAAACACAACTTTATCTGAAAGTGTGTAGTCTCCACGGCTGTTGAAACACTGAATGCTCTATGGTACAGCCGGATACATCTGTAGGCATTCAGTTTGCACAGTGTCAATCTCTTGTACTGACCGTCAACAGAGTCCTAGCCTCTGAATAAACTGGCCCTAAACTGGTCCTTCTCTTGCTGTCCTGTACACATCTCAGTCCATGCCATCCCCTCATCTTATTCACTTGTTTCTTTCTTCATTTATTTTGTCTCTTCCTTTACTCCTTTGGCCTTGTGGGTTCCAATATAAAGACATTCTAGATGTTACCAGGCCTTCTCTACATGTATACCATCTAGTGCCACAGCAGTTCCTCACATCTGAATTCACTGTCACTGATGGTAATGGTATAATGCATTTATATTGATGGCACTGTGGGCCCTTGTGTTGTCTTGTAAAGATGTGACCTGGGTTATCCCTATGTGAAGCTGTCCAGCAGCTCACAAGCTCACGTTTCCCCATAAGGACTGGGAGTTATGTCAGTGAAGCATTTCACTTCAGATCTTCATGTCAGTTGAAGCATATCGCCTCGGATCCACATGTCAGTGAAGCATATCGCTCAGATCTACATGTCAGTGAAGCATTTCACTTCAGATCTACATGTCAGTTGAAGCATATCGCTCAGATCTACATGTCAGTGAAGCATTCCACTTCAGATCTACATGTCAGTTGAAGCATATCGCTCGGATCTACATGTCAGTGAAGCATTTCACTTCAGATCTACATGTCAGTGAAGCATTTCACTTCAGATCTACATGTCAATTGAAGCATATCGCCTCGGATCTACATGTCAGTGAAGCATTTCACTTCAGATCTACATGTCAATTGAAGCAGATCGCCTCGGATCTAAATGTCAGTGAAGCATTTCACTTCAGATCTACATGTCAGTGAAGCATTTCACTTGAGATCTACATGCAATTGAAGCATATCGCCTCAGATCTACTACATGTCGGTGAAGCATTTCACTTCAGATCTACATGTCAATTGAAGCATATCGCCTCGCATCTACATGTCAGTGAAGCATTTCACTTCAGATCTTCATGTCAGTTGAAGCATATCACCTCGGATCTACATGTCAGTGAGGCATTTCACTTCAGATCTACATGTCAGTGAAGCATTTCACTTCAGATCTACATGTCAGTGAAGCATTTCACTTCAGATCTACATGTCAGTGAAGCATTTCACTTCAGATCTACATGTCAATTGAAGCATATCGCCTCAGATCTACATGTCAGTGAAGCATTTTACTTCAGATTTACATGTCAATTGAAGCATATCGCCTCGGATCTACATGTCAGTGAAGCATTTCACTTCAAATCTACATGTCAATTGAAGCATATCGCCTTAGATCTACATGTCAGTGAAGCATTTTACTTCAGATCTACATGTTAGTTAAAGCATATCGTCTCGGATCAACATGTTAGTGAACATTCTACCACATTTGAACACACAGATTACCAGAACTGACTGGTAAAACTGACAGTGTAATTAAATAATTATTTAAAATTAATGTACAAAAATAATGTACACAAAACATTTCCTTCTCAAACCAAAACAAGGAAAGAGAAAGCTGCTGCTGCATTCGGCATGTGTAGAGAAGCTATGGGAGCCCGAAGACAACTTATCACAGACATCAGAAGGAGACAGCCATAATTTTTTGGCCATTTTATGAGAAGAGGGAAAACAGAATATGTTGTGACCACTGGAAAGATATGTGGAAGGAGAGATAGAGAAAGACAATGAGAGAAGATGATTGACAGTCTTGTTGCATGGCATGGAGCTGTGCTGGCACACGAACTGATACATGCTGCAGGAGATCGCAGATTATAGAGAGGCATGATCGCCCACGCCAGTCGGCAAGGCACCTGATGATGATGATGAGAGAAGCTATAGAACAACATATTTGGCACATAAGTCACAAACAGATTTCAACAGATAACATGTGTGATAACAGGAGAGCTGCTCAGTTGAGATAGGAAGACTGACAATGCTAGCAGGGAAGATGTAGCTTGGAGGGTGTCTGCGGCACATGAAATCATCTGGTCAAGGAAACATAATCAATGCCTGCAGGACATGCCATAGCAAAGGGAAGTAGTTCCAGCCATCACAGTCAGGGTTCAGTTCAATTTTTGACCAAATACAGTCGACTCACTTTATAAGGTCTGTGAATGATGTTATAAATATATCAATGGCTTTTGGCACACACAACAAATTTATACAACCCCGGTTGTAGAAGCGTGACCGCTGGTTATCGTGGCATGGAAAAAGACACTCATTTCTGCTGGAAATGACTGGCGACACAAACATGACCAACTGAATCAGATCTGCACCAACTGAAGCCTTTTTTAATGACAGGGAATGCACATGCTCTGCCCATGCCTATCTCTGAGGGTCAACCAAACTGTATGTGGATGCCCAGGACGGGTCCTTTTAGGAACAATACGTGATGATCTGGGGATGACATAGTCACCACAAATACAGTTCCTCATGTTATGGCTACCCTTTAATACAGTTCCCTCATGTTGTGGTGACCCTTTAATACAGTTCCTTATGTTGTGGTAACCCTTTAATACATTTCCTCATGTTGTGGTAACCCTTTAATACAGTTCCTTATGTTGTGGTAACCCTTTAATACAGTTCCTTATGTTGTGGCGACCCTTCAATACAGTTCCTTATGTTGTGGTAACCCTTTAATACAGTTTCTCATGTTGTGGTGACCCTTTAATACAGTTCCTCATGTTGTGGCAACCCTTCAATACAGTTTCTCATGTTGTGGCGACCCTTTAATACAGTTCCTTATGTTGTGGTAACCCTTTAATACACTTCCTCATGTTGTGGTAACCCTTTAATACACTTCCTCATCTTGTGGTAACCCTTTAATACAGTTCCTCATGTTGTGGCTACAAATGTAAACAATAAAAACAACTAATTGTAACGGCTAATCCAGATAACAAATGCCTGAAGCTGGGTGTGTCGGCCAAAAGCCACACATAACAGCTATTCTGTAAATGGTTAAAAAAAAAGTAAAGGACTCTTTTTTTATGCCTTTAGGCGTATAGGGCATATAGGGCTAGACCTAAATTTTTATAGACCAATTCAGCACAAGACGGGTGATGTGGTCAGCATCACGCCGGCCGCCTTTACTTCCCGGAACTGCATCCGGTACCCACTTAAGGCTGGAAGCCAAGGTCATTTTTGAAAAAAGTCTGGCTCTCCAGTGAGCGAACCCATGACCTTCCGATCCGTGGTGAATGTCTAGCTGCTCCGCCACGGGGACTTCATTCTGTAAATGGGCACAACACATTTAAATCACTCTAATGAATGAAGAAGAAGAAACATGATCAACAGCAAAGATGACATCAACATACAACCCAAACATCAACATACAACCCAAACACTCAACATACAACCCAAACATCAACATACAACCCAAACACTCAACATACAACCCAAACATCAATATACAACTCAAACATCAACATACAACCCAAACAACAACCCAAACATCAACATACAACCCATATTTAACCGCTGCCATAGGAGGTCACTTAGATGAAGGTCATACATTGTGCTTACATGCCACATACATGTAGGGCCCACTCAAACGCTTATCTATGGTGGCCCTCACCCATACATTGTACAGAGGAGTAGGTTCAGGTATGGCTGGCTCCAGTGAGTACAGCATCACATCCGATGGTAGATCCACGTGAATGCTGCTGTCATCCCCATGCTCAGATATCACCAACTGAAACTCTAAACTGACATAGTCTAGAAACTCTACATTCCATGGAAGCTGCCAGCCAAGTAAGTAGTGTCTACTGAGACCAGCCTCCGCAACACTCAAGTTCACAGATTTGCACACAAGATCCCTCACAGGGCCGGGTGAGAGGGGGATGTCTGGCACTAACCCCACCCTAGAGTGGACTTGTAACTCCCTGGCCTCAGTGAGTGCTGTGGTCACTAGTACAGTCACCTCCACAACGTCCACTTCTGTGTCCTGATAAATATGGTATAACCAGGACGGGTCCTCACAGCACAAATGTCCAGGGACTTCAGACTGTTTGATTATCCCATTCTGTACCTCAGCTGGCAAGTGACTGATCCCGCCTAGCTTGGGATCCCAGTCTGGGTGTGGGACCGACTTCACCTTATTCTTGTTGCTCCAGGACTTGTAAATAACTTCAGAACCAGGCAGGTCGCACACTGTTTTAAAGGGTGTATAGTTGAAAGGGTTTACTGCATAAGGAAACAGTTCTATGACACAGCTGCCTGGGGGAAGGAATATTAGGAAACTCAGAAGTGATCCATGCATGCCTATAATTCCTCTAGAATTAGTTACTGCTGAGATTATCTCTTCCAAGGAATGTGTCTCCACACTCATCGAGAGAACTTTGAACTTTGTTGCTCTCGCTATTGATAGCATCAGTTCTCCTTCGTTGATGATTCTTCTATTATCCTTTCGAGACAGCAGGATCAAGTAGTTTCCCTTGGTGCAAAAGATGCAGCTGTGGTATAGGTGTGATGCCAAGTAAGTGGCTGCTCTGCGGATATTTAGCAGTAAATCAGGGACAGTCACATCCAGAGGTCCTTGCATTTGGAAAAACCCATACTGATACCACAAAGTCTTGTTTGTGAGTCCCAAATAGGCCCTGTCGAAGCAAATAACGTCAGCAGTGTGGTTTAACTTGTGAAGGGACACTGGTGGGACTACCGACAGCGCTTTGTACAGACTGTTATACTCGCCTGCGTCAAAGTGATCTGTGAACAGAATAGTGACATTAGGCTTCTGTCGGCCATGGATCAGACCCAGGGAATGAAGTGAATGATAGAGTGGAAGAACATCATCATGTAGAACATGCATGACGTTATCTGGCTTAAACCGTTGTAGTATGAAAGAAGTCCCCTGGATGATGGCGACTGTAGGGAATCTACCAAGACCCGAAGCCGGTATGAAGACGGGGGTAAATTTCATGGTGTTGTGCTCAGCTACTGTCGATAAACTAATGCTGAACAAGTCCTCTGCGTCAAGTTGGCTATTAGATGGAAGCTTTTCCAAGACACTGTGCTTGCCCTTCAAGAAAATAAAATCTCCCTCTGCTGTCTTGTAACAGAGGTTCTCAAACTGGCAGGTGTAGCCACTGTTTGAGGAGTCACACCATGCAGATGTGCCTTCTTGTATCAGTGTCTGTTTGGCATCAGAGTCTGCCTGCATTGTTACACTGCTTACCTCATCCTCATCATTCACCTCACTGTAGCTGTCTTCAGCAGTGCTGTGATCCAACGTCTCTGCTGGAACCGGCTGGATGTGGAATCTGCTGTGGGAGTCAGTGACAGCACTGTCACAGTTCTGACAAGTGTTCTTGTTATCAGTAGCCATGTTGTCTGTCGATAGAACAGAGCCCATGTCAAGCACATCAGCATGCCTGTGGGAACTCTGGTATGTCTTACTGAAATGCTGCTGTCCATTACCAGAAGCCTCTTGTGCCGTACGAAGAAAGTCTCTAGAAGTTTGAGGAATTGACAAAGAGATCTGACTGAAAAGCGTAGCAGATGAACCTAAACCTGCAACCTTACTTTCCTCAGAAGCTGATTCTGTTGTCACATCATCTTCAGAAAGAGACTTATCATCGTCGTCATTATCATACAGACTGTAAGCATTGCTTCTCTTCCACAACCTCTGCCCGACTGTGGAGGTTGGCTCAAACAGAAAAGCTTCTATATATGATGACTGCACTTCTTCTGGCTTTCCCTGTAGTTCAGACAAGTTAGGTTCTTCTGCATGTGTAAACTGTACCGGAGAAACATCCAGTGGAGAGACAACACCTGTAGGAATTTCTGTCGCTACCTCGTCCACATCACTTTTCTCTGTTCTACCAAACTCGTCCACCTTCAGCTGTTCTGAGGTTTCATATGCTGTCTGCTTGGACAGAAAAGAACTTTCGGAGATGGAAACTAAAAGCTGCTTGTCGGTTCCCAAGATTCTTGTCTGGGAATATCTGTCAGCCTCTGATGCCAACTGGGAAGCTTTTTGTGTCAGCAGGGTTGTGGCTGTCGAGGCATCTCCATTCAGAATGCAACAGTCACCATGCTGATTGTGTAGTAATGATCCAGTGCAGTAATCTTCCAACTGCACTGCCTCCTTGGCTGGTCTGTGAAGGTTGCTGCAGGAGCGTGCCAGGTCCTCATACTTGATAGTCAGCTGTAGGTAGAGGCTGACAAGTCCAACAATCATCATTAGCATCAGGACATGTGCCAGGTTGTGCAGGCTAGGGCTGCCAGGGTTGCTCATTGTCTGGGGAAGACAGTACACAGCTTACATCAATACAATCCTTCTTTCTCTTTCACAACCTTACTTTTCTCTACGCCAGCGGTTCTCAACCTTCCTAATGCTTTAATACAGTTCCTCATGTTGTGGTAACTCTTTAATACAGTTCCTCATGTTGTGGCAACCCTTTAATACAGTTCCTCATGTTGTGGCGACCTTTTAATACAGTTCTTTGCGTTGTGATGACCCTTTAATACAGTTCCTCATGTTGTGGTAACTCTTTAATACAGTTCCTCATGTTGTGGCGACCCTTTAATACAGTTCCTCATGTTGTGGCGACCTTTTAATACAGTTCTTTGCGTTGTGATGACCCTTTAATACAGTTCCTCATGTTGTGGCGACCTTTTAATACAGTTCTTTGCGTTGTGATGACCCTTTAATACAGTTCCTCATGTTGTGGTAACTCTTTAATACAGTTCCTCATGTTGTGGCGACCCTTTAATACAGTTCCTCATGTTGTGGTAACCTTTTAATACAGTTCCTCATGTTGTGGTAACCTTTTAATACAGTTCCTCATGTTGTGGTAACCTTTTAATACAGTTCCTCATGTTGTGGTAACCATTTAATACAGTTCCCTCATGTTGTGGTAACTCTTTAATACAGTTCCTCATGTTGTGGTAACCCTTTAATACAGTTCCTCATGTTGTGGTAACCCTTTAATACAGTTCCTCATGTTGTGGTAACCCTTTAATACAGTTCCCTCATGTTGTGGTAACCCTTTAATACAGTTCCTCATGTTGTGGTAACCCTTTAATACAGTTCCTCATGTTGTGGCGACCCCCAACAATACATTTATTTTTGTCGCTACTTCATAACTCCAATGATGTGTGTTTTCCTATGGTCTTTGGCATTGTGACCCATAGGTTGAGAAAGGCTGCTCTACACTGTGGTAAGACTATTTTAGACATTTGACAGTATTTTCTCCATCTTCTATGGTAAGAATATTTTAGACATTCAAAAGTATTTCCCCCATCTTCTAAGGTAAAAATATTGTATACATTTGAAAGTTTTTCTTCTATCTTCTATGGTAAGAATAGTTTAAACATTTCAAAGGTCCCCCCCCCCCTCCCCCCCTCCCCTATTTTCTGTGGTAAGAATATTTTATCCATTTAAAGTATTTCCATCTACCCTAGGGTGGGAATATTTGAGTCATGGATTTGTTTTGTTTACCCTAGAGTGAGGACAGCATGCAATTATTTAAGCTTGCCACTCAGAAGAGCTTAAGCAGCCAGAACTTAGACAAGTGAAATGTGAGGATACCATACAGTCATTTAACTTTCCTCTTCTTAACTGAACACTTAGTGATTAGAAAGGATTATCATCACAGCACTCCGGACAGATTCACAGGTGCTCCGATCTCCTCCTCAAAAGCTCCACAAGTGTAAAACGACTGATGACGCCTGTTCTGTGTTGGTTAATGAAACGTCTTGTCCCCTTAGTGAAATGTTCATTTCTTGCAGCTCCAGGCTGCACCCCCATGTCCATCAGTCTAGACAAGTATATGGATCATGTCCTTTGACCTGCTCCTCCGTACGGTGTGCAGCGCATAGCATCAGTAACATCACTTCTGTCCAGTACTGGGCCAGCCATAGCAACTGCAGTGTCAGTAAGATAGTCTGCACGCTCGTTCCCTTTAACACCCGCATGACCTGGCACAGAGATGAAAGTTAGGGCAGATATTCATGAAGTGCTTTGTGTTTCAATCCATTCTTGCCTGATAAATCCAGCTTAGATTTTTTTAAAGCATATTCATAGAGTTTGACTGAACAGTGAAGACAAATTTTCAGAGATCACTTGTAGGTGGTTCTAAGGAGTGGTTTCTCTATCCATTCTGTTATGTGATCTCAACAAGTATTGGATGATATGCTGTTGAGAAAGTTTTGAAGGGCTGAAGATGCCTGGAAAGGGTCAAGGTTCCTAATAGTCATGAGCTTTTCCTCTTCTGCCCTATGTGAAGATATTATTTTCCCATGTGGGTTCTGTGGCCATTGGGGGGGGGGGGGGGGGCAGTAAGTCTCCCCCCCCCCCCCCACACACACACAACAAAAATGTTGTAGAAGTCAACTAATTCTTGGTGTTCCCTTTAAAATGAAAGTGCATCTGCCTTTGAGGTGAGGAACCAACAGTTTTCTTACAAATGAGCCAGATCTGTAAAAGAGATGAATAAGACCAAAGTCTAGAAGTGGACAAACAACCAGAACTTTCTGCTGTAGTTTATAGCTGATGAATGCCAAGAAGAACAAGATAAACATGTTTCCTAAAAAAAATAGCTTGGTCACAGCTAGATCATCTGACAGTGTTGTTGAGATTTTCCTGTTGCAGTGCCCCTGGTGTCATCCCCAGAGTCTTGTTAAGCCTGTCCTCTTCTACTCTAGGGAGACTGAGCACCTCACAATCATTTGTCAAATACTGTGTCATTGATTACATCAAACACTCCATTAGTTTTATGTAAAATACTGTGTCATTGATTACATCAAACACTCCATTAGTTTTATGTCAAATACTGTGTCATTGATTACATCAAACACTCCATTAGTTTTATGTCAAATACTTTCTCATTCTTAAAGTAAAATAATGTAACAATGAAGGTTTAGTGTAACAATGATAATCTTCTTCTTCGTGTTCACTGGCTGTGAACTCCGGCGGAAAGTTCTGGTTGTTCGTCCACTTCTGGACTGCATTCCTGTTCCAAAACCTGAGTGTTGTGTGTGCATCTGTTTGACAGATCTGTATGCAGACTGTTGGTAACTTCCCTTTCAGGCAGATGCACTCCAACTTGGAAGGAAGCTCCCAATTAGTCGACTCTTATGACATGTTTTTGGGTAGGCAGTGGGTCTATTCTTGTTTTTCCCTATAACAGGGCCCCGGAACCCACACGGGGGTTCAATGATAATGTGAGATGTCTCCTGTCATGAGCTTGATACTGCAAGCCTCCACACATAATGTGTGCCAGATGACAACAACACCGACCAGGTATGCAGGGAACAAAGACTCATGAGATCATTGAAACATGTAGACTCTTAGCAGAAAGAATGACTGTACTGTCAGATAAGAAGTATATTGTTTGCTTCACTGAGTATGGAAAAGCCTCATCAAAGGCATATCCTGCAACTGATGATCAGAACAAACGAGTTGGGTCAAGGACCAGCACTATAGAGATTGCAATCAACACTTCATCGTCATCTTCAGCAGCCAGCGAAGAGATCCAATCCTAGTGGTGCCAGTAGCAGTCTGGTGTTATGTCCCGGCCAGATGCCCTGGTTACTACCTACTGCACCAATCCCCATACTATCACTAATGATCAGTTGGCGCTTCCGCATTGGTCACTTGCTTCCTAAGCACCGTGGCCACCTACAGCTAACCATGCTTTAATTCCTACTCTAAACAAAAAATCAGTTACACAGAAGAGGAAACGAAGGCCCGACATTAACGGGGCAGGCCACTTGTGAGACAAGGTGAGAAATAATATTACTTGCCGCAGATCGTCAGCTATCGAAGATAGGTTGTTTGGTGAATTCGCTCATCTATGGCCCTTAAATCTGCTGGGAAAAAAGATCGCACACAAATATAAGTGTTTGATATAAAAACTACCCACTTCTGGGGACATAAGAAGCACACGGTTCGGCTATTTGCTGGGCCGATCTCTAGGGACCCACACCTGGCGATTTCGGGTAAACCTGATTGTTTACTGTTGACATGTCGAAGGTCAAGGTACAACACTCGAACTCTGTTCACCCGGTGTTAAGGAAAATTGTAACCAGTCTTCCTTTTACATAAAACCAGGGAGCAATGGGATGCTCTGTTTGTTTGTTTGATGATATCCAGAAGCCATGAGTTGTTAACCATTAGACTCGGTATTATGGATATCGCAACCTTTCGGCCTTGATTCAATTTTAAATACCGTAAATCTGGGAGAAATGTGGCTTTTCTGCGAACCCCCGGGAGTGAACCCGGACCACAAGGAGTTCGTCACCCGCTCACCGCGCAATCCGGTTTAGCCAACTACGCTAGAGAGACTGGCATAGGATGCTCTAAATATGATCATCATCATCATCAGTTCTCCTTATGGCTAGTGGCACATGAGGCTTCAGAGAGGACTTTCCATGCTTTCCTGTCTTGTGCAATCTTCAGTGCAGTTTTCCATGTCTAAATATCGATGGTCATGAATTCCAGAGATGATACAGTATTGCTATCCACATCGCAAACTGGTATAAAAAACAAAACAGTTGACACGCATTTATTGTATACAGATTTTTTTACAGACAAATAAACCTATTTAAAAAAAAAAAAAACACTTAATAAGCTCAACCCGAAAGAAATAGTGAAAATCACAACTTATATCTTAACATAGCAAAAACAAAGATAATGCATACAGATAAAACTACTATAAAAGATATCAAGAAAAGATATAAAACCGAACGAAAAGCTACTATGGTGAAAAAAATATATGTTAATGAGGAAAGATTGAAGGTTACGGAGAATTTCGAATATTTTGGGTCATTAATTACCAACAATGGTGACACGATGAAAGAAATCAAACGACGACTATCAGTAGCTCTTCAAAGACTAAAACAACTGAATAAATTATGGAGTGACACAAACAGAACTACAAAAATTAGATTTCTAAGAGCGTGCATCTTTCCCATTGCAACATACGTCTGTGCTGACCTGGACATAAGCTGAATAGCGCATGAATGCCTTTGAATACAAATGTTATAGATGGGTTCTAAGAATATCATGGGTAAAGAGAAATTTAAAAAAGCATCCATACTGCAAGATCTGAAGAATGTTGGCTATTTAAAAACAATAAAATGCATACAATTTAAATATTTTGGTCACTTGAAACGTCACGAAAGTTTCGAGAGAACAATAATGGATGGGTAGAAATCTAGGAAGGAAGAAGGAGGTTAGAGAGAAGATGGGTGTATCAGACGCGGGACATCTTGCTAGTGATCGAGAAGTTT